AATTTTTGTATTTTTTCATAAAATATCTATATGAAAACCTTTGAATCAATGGTCAAGCTAGCAAACTAATAGGAAATAAGTATAAGGTTTGGAAAGAGATATAAGATCAATGAATAATAAAAATTAATAGAAAGTGTCCATTTACAAAGCACTCAAATATTATAAAATTCCTATGACTATATCTAAAGAAACATACATTATCATTATGGGTAAAATCCTGAAACTTTAACATGTAAGATTTGCATAAATGGAGGAATATACCAATTAATTTATGGGCATGCCCAATATGGGAGCTATGTCCACCCACAAATTTATTTTAACTTCATGCAATTTCAATTCAGATCAACAGGATTTTTATGGAACATGACAGATTTATTCTAAAATGAATACTGACGTTTAGCTCTACTCATTCTAAGTATGAATAAAGACATGGGGACTTGCCTTACCAAGTATCAATACTAAGTGTAAAGCTACAATAATTAAAACTATAGTTTTGGCACAGAAATGGGCAAATTAGTAGATTTAAATGGAGAGTCTAGAAAGAGATCCATGCTTATATTTGAACTTGGCATATAAGAGTGGAATTTTCCAACTTGGTGGGGAAAATGGTGGTAGACAATTAGATTTATACCAAAAATCCTAACAACCATACAGATCCCTACCTCCCAACAACAACACAATTCTAAATGGGTGAAACAAATAAAGATGAAAAACAAAGAAAACAATGAAAATGAATCTTTGTGACATCATGGAAGAGTGGATTACTTAAACAGAAAGGGAACAAATCACAATGGAAAAGATGAATAAATGATTGTGATTTTTCAAAATAATTAAGACACCATAAATTATTTGCTGTAATACAACAGATAATTAGTATCCCAAATATTTATAAAATTCTATAAATCAGAAAAAAAATTTAACTGAAAAAATGAGTGAAGTATATAACCAGTAATTTACAAAACTAAAACCCACAAAAGGCCATTAAATCTATGAAAAAGGACATTGCCAGGAAACAGGCAACATAGTAGTATAAAAGGAGATAAATATTTTGACAGTCAAATCACCAACAACTAAAAATTTGATATCAAGGACATCTGGGGATGTGGAGAAAGAAACTCTCCTTCTCTGCTAGTGAGTGTGTTAATTAGGAAAATCACTAGGTAAAGCAATTTGACATTGCATAACAATATACAGAATGTAATTTGTATTATTTCTACCCTACCTAAAAATACAGTGGTATAATTTCTATACCACATAAAAATAATGCTTAGGAAGATCTACACTAGGTAAATTATCACATATAATTACAAGGACACGTATAAAAGGTTTTTAATGCAGCATTGTTTATGGTAAAACACTGGAACTAATCCAAATACTCCCCAATAGAGAAATGCATCAATAAACTATATTCTTATGACAGACTACATATGTAGGTATATATAGGTATATATTAATATATCTTGAATCTATTAGTGCTGAATTTAAAAACTGCACAAGTGTTAGCATATTTGGTATAAAATCATTTATATAAAATCAAAATAGATGCACAAAACAATACTCTGTATTAGTATATAATGCACATGCACACACAAAAACATCCACAGAAAATGCACTAAATCCATGACGCTAGGGAGGAGAAAGAAATTAGGATTTGGGGTTTGAATCTGAAAGGGACTTCTTCACTTGAAGTATTTATTTCTTCTATTTAAAAGTACTTGCTGCAGGGACAAGACCCTTTAGGATGTCGATTCTCACTAGTTCTATTAAGCATTACACTGGAGCTTCTAGTCAGGGCTGTTAGGTAACAAAAAGAAAGAAAAGGCATCCAAATTAGGAAGGATAAAACTATATTGATAAATGAAATGATTCTATATGGAGAAAATCTTAAGGAACCATGAAAAATCTACTAGACCTAATAAACAAGTTCAGATACAAAACCATTATTCAAATATCAATTCCTTTCTAGTATGGAGGTTCCTCAAAATGCTCAAAATAGACATACCATTTGACCCAGGAATTCCACTTTCAGGAATTTACCCTAAAATTCAGCAGCCCAGTTTAAAAAAGACAGATGCACCCCTATGTTTCTCGCAGCACTATTTACAATACCCAATAAATGGAAGCAACCTAAGTGTCCATTAGTAGATGAATGGATAAAGAAAATGTGGTACATGTACACAATGGAATATTATTCAGCCATAAGAAGAAAACAAATCCTACCATTTGCAACAACATGGATGGAGCCAGAGGGTATTATGCTCAGTGAAATAAGCCAAGTGGAGAAAGACAAATACCAAATGATTTCACTCATATGTGGAGTATAAGAACAAAGAAAAATTGAAGGAACAAAACAGCAGCAGAATCACAGAACCCAAGAATGGACTAACAGTTACCAAAGGGAAGTGGACTGGGGAGAATGGGAGGGAAAGGAGGGATTAGGGCGGGGAAGAAGAAAGGGGGTATTATGATAAGCATGTATAATGTGGCGGGGGGTACATGGAAGGCTGTGCAACACAGAGAAGACAAGTAGTGATTCTACAACATTACTATGCTGATGGACAATGACTGTAATGGGGTTTGTGGGGGGGACTTGGTGCAGGGGGGATCCTAGTAAACATAATGTTCTTCATGTACTTGTAGATTAATAACAACAAAAAAAAGTAATTGCTTTCTATACACAATGAAAATTCTGCAAAGTTAAATCCATTCACAATAGCATCAAAAAGAATGTTTAGGAATAAACAAAAAAGTACAACACTTCTACTGTAGAAATTATAAAATTGTTAAAGAAGAGCTAAATAAATGGAAAAGCATTACATATTCATGGATCAGAAGACTTAATATTGTTAAGATGGTAATACTCACCAAATTGATATGTGGATTCAGTGTAATCTCTATTTTTCCTGACTCCCCACCCCTAACCCCTAGAAATTAAAAGCTAATCTTAAAATTGATATGTAAACATAAAGGACCCAGAATAACTATGAAACTCTTGAAAAAGAATTTTAAAAAGTGGATGACTCACACTTCTCTATTTCAAAACTTTAATATACAAAGCTATAATAAGACACTGGTATAAGGTTAACTATGTAGTTGAATGGAATAGAATTGAAAGTCTGAAATAAACCCTTATATTTGTGGTCAATTGATTTTAACAAAGGTTTCAAGACAACAGTGAAAGAATAGTCCTTTCAACGAATATTGCTGAAAATGCGTATCTACCTACAGAAGAATGAATTTGGATCTCTACCTCATGCCATTCACAAAAATGAAGCCAAATTATAGACCCAAATGTAAGCTAAAACTAGAAAACTCTTAGAAGAAAACACAGGAATGTATCTGCATGACCTTGAACTAGGCAATCATATTCAACACTTTAAGGACTTATAACCAGGACATATAAAGACTTCTTGCAACTCAAAAAGACAAATAACTCAAAAAATGAGCAAAGTACTGGAATAGAAATTTCTTCAAAAAATATGTATGTCCAATAAACATAGGGGAAAATGCTCAGCATCATTAGTCATTAAAGAAATGCAAATCAAAACCATAAGACTTCATGCTGATAGAAGTGCTAAAAAAAAAAAGACAAAAAGACAAGTGTTTGTGAGGACATTGAGAAATTGGAACCCTCATATATATTTGCTGGTGGAAATTTAAAATTTTGCAGGCACTTTGGGATAATGCGTAACAGTTTCTCAAAACATTAAACATAGGGTTGCTATATAATACAATTCCACTCCTAGGTATCTATACAGGAAAACTAAATGTCCACTTAGAGATTTGTACATGAATGTTCATAACAGCATCATTCATAATAGCCAAAAGATTAAAACAACCCAAATATCAGCTGATGAGTGCATAAATAAAATGTGATCTATTCATAAAAATGAAAAATTATTCAACCACAAAGAGAAACACAATGCTGATATATGCTACAATATGGATGAACTCCACAACATGCTGAGTGAAATAAACTGTACACAAAAGACTGTATATCATATGATCCCTTTTATATGAACTGTCCAGAATAGGCTAATCAAGACAAAGTAGATTAATGGTTATCTGGAGCTGAGGATGGAAATGGGCTGTGACTGCAAATGGCATGAGGTTTCTTTTTAGAATGATGAAAATGTTCTAGAATTAGGTAATGGGGATGGTTGCACAACTCTGTAAATATACCAAAAATTACTGAATTGTACACTTAAGGTTGGTCATATTTTTGTTATGTAAGTTACGTTTCAATAAAGCTATTTTTAAAAACCATTTGAAGCAAACATGGCAATATAAAATGTTAATTCTGGACTGGTTGGAATGCAGGTTTTTGCTACATATTCTATTTTCTCTCTTTTTAATGTATATGAAGAACAAAAAAATTAAGACAGCATAAATTCCTGGGCCCCAATTTCAAATGAGACATGCATAAATTTATAGTCTTTTTATTATACTCTTACCTCTAGATACTGACAGTTGCCCCCAGCCACAAAAGAAATGACTGGATCCTTCTCAGAGCACTCTCAGTGAGCCTACCAGTCTTACATTGGAAACGCAACTCCATAATGCTTGACTCTTAGACATACACCAAGAATAACTAGACATATGAGGAAAACATTTAACATAAAAGAAACCAAAATATCCTGCAAGGGTGGATTCAGGGGAAACAGACACAACATGGAGCACAAATGAATGTTTAAAAAAAAATCCCTAAAATTTATACTTCTAGAGAGAGAAAGGAAAAGCTGTAGCCATGGAAAAAACATCAGAAATCTATAATAAAAGGAATATCCAGAGAACAAAAGAATTTCTGGAAATTAACTGCTAGAAAGCTTGGAAAATATTTTTTAAAAAGATGGAAAATAGAGCAGATAACAAAATTAGATGATCAGTCCAAGAAGTTTAATATCTAAATGTATTTCCACAGAGCAAGAACTGAAAATAGTGGAAAGGAATATACAAAGAAATTATTTAAGAAAACTTCTCAGCAATGAAGAACATGAATTTCTACATCAGAATTTCTAGGACAATTGTTGACAAATAAGACCAATTATCTTGATTAAATCTGAAAAAATAAGAGCAAAAGAAAATCCTCAAGGTATACAGAGAGTAAAAGTGGTTTGCACAAAAAGGATCAGAAAACAAATTGGTTTTGGATTTCTAGATGCTAGAATTCAGTGAAACAATGTCATCAGAATCCCAAAAGAAAAGTGTAAAATTACAACAAAGACACTTCAGACATGCAAACTTTGCTAGACAGTGGTTATATTTGTGACCAGCCAATTTTGAATTCCCTTTTTACATTGGGAAATTCCCACATTATGACCCTTGCCTTGACAAGGTTGAAGCCAGAACTCAACTGTCCAGCATCTATTGCAGCAAATATGTAGGCAGATGACCTGGGCTCCTCCAGTCAGACACTTTTATGGAGACCTCAATTGGAGGGAATGTGAGGGAATCGATTTTGTACAGGATCTGTTCCTGGAGAGGGTGGTGAGAGATTGGGTTTTCAGAGGCAATAGTGGCATAAATTCTAGTTGGTAGTGTCCCTTCTTCAAGGTCTTTGGTGCCTTTGACCACAGGAGGTATAGGAACACCTTAATATAGATTGTTGGATAATTTGGATATTGTTTCTGGATGCAGTCTCCAAACCCTATTCTCCTGTCCTCTTGGAGATTCTGTGAGCTACTTCTTAATCTCTAATGAAGCTTCCAAAGATGCTTCTGGTGGATTTGCTCACTGACACAAGGGCATAAACTAGGAAAGAAGAGGGATGGGTGGAATCACAGGGTCTAACATAGTATTGAGGGAAAGAGAATCCCCAGGATTATGGGTAACAAACCCCAGGACGCAGGCTCCACAACAGTCAAAGACTAGCCAACCCAGGTTTAAGAAAGCATATGGAAAGCTCCAGGCAGAATATTTTTAAAAGAGAAATCTGATTTAGTACCTGGTGTGGTTTATGTAGTTAGAAGAGGTGTACACTAGTGGAAATGAATTTGGGAATGAGTTAATGTGTACTAAGCCAAGCAAATGATATAATAAGAAAAGTATTAACTATAGGATAGATAAAATTTTGTACATGGAAAGCAGGGTAATCATAGCACACTACATGACTCAGCTGAGACTAACTTTACATGGTAAAAATTCAGATGTGATTTAACCAAAAAGTTTTTGTATCTATATGACAGGCTGGGGCAGGGGAAGTCTCTGTGTTAGGATGAAACATAAGAGAACTTAACCCATGCCTTTTGTGGTATGAGTGTCCACAATCTCTAAAACTGAAAAGTCTACAAATACTAGAAAAACAAAAGAAACAGCTAAAATATGTAAGAGTCATTTAGGAATGGGAATGAGGGAGACAGTGTATTGGTCAGGATTCTTTAGTTGCATACTGTAGAATTCACTAAGGCAAAGAAGTGGCTTTTTTTTTAAGCATTAAAGTAATTTACAGAATCTCCTGGAGAATTCAAGAACGAGGCTTACGTGCTGCTGAAGCAATGTCTTCAAAATGTATTGACAATTCAAAGAAACATGTTAGATGTTGCCTCAAAACTCAATAGCGTGGCTGTGTCTTGGTGACAAGGGGCTCCAGAAGGCTTCTGGCTCCTGCTGCTCTCTGCTCCAGGTACCACTGTGACTTCTAAGAGTCCCTGTAACAGAGGAAAGCAAATACAGATGACTAACGAGGTTCATATTACCATGCTCAACTGATACTTTACATCACAATGAAGTCATAATGTGATATTTAAGTTGCTAATTGAAAGGACATGTCCTTCTGGCAAGTAAAAATAAAGGTCAAATTCCAATCTTTGTCATGATTTAATCTGTGCTCTTCCAACTCTGTCACAATTTAGTCTGCGCTGTTCATGCCTGACACTTTCTGCCATGAGTCTTTATATCTACATTCCTAGATGTTCCTAAATAGGAAATCTACACCAAATATTGGACTTTGAGATACAAAGTATACAGAAAAAGTCACTTTCATCTGAACTTTTCCATTTAGCTTATGAAGAAGGGAATGTTGAAGCTTGTGAGGCAGAAACATGAAAATATCATGAAGAGAAAAGCAAGCACATCTTGTGGAAGGAATTTATTACTTTAGATAAGTGCCCATTAGAGGTGAAAGGAATATTCTGGAGAGCTCCCACCTCAGAAATTTATATTAAGCAGAAAATAAATGGCCCAAGCAAATAGTACTCATGGAATGTGGAAGACAGAATCCTCACCAAGGTCTAGGATTGGTGGGACCTATATCAGGAAGGCAGTGGTTATAACTTAGAAAAGAGAAGTGAGGGAGAGAGAGCATTGAATCAAGACAATGGCTAGGAGTATTTCCAGCCAAGGATTTGTGGAAGGAGCTGCTGAGAGATACATTTGGGAAAACAAAGAGAAAAAGGTGGTGACACAATATTTACTTTGCTCCCTCCAAACTCCACTGAAGTGACAGTACTAGGATTTTTGTTTTAAGAAATAAGTCACAAAGAGAGCATATGGTACAGGAAATAAGATAGTAGTAAATTTTGAAAACAGATGAACAAATAGAAACTGATTTATCAAACCCAGAAAGTTGAATCTTAAATTGGGAGTGAGAAAAGCTAAGAAGGAACACAACTGTGTCCACAGACTCCAAAAGGCTTAGGACTTCATGGCACTGGCTTCCTCTGGATGTGGACGGAGGCTAAGGAAGATTTGTTGAAAGTCCAAGAAGCAGTTGGAGCCTCAGACTCCCTCGCATTCTCTCGTAGCAGGATAAACTGCTCCTCTCTCATCTTGGTGGAAAACCAAGTTTCATTTCCTAGAGCAAGTGGAAAAGGTAGTCTCTGAACTGAGAATTTCCAGGAACCATTGACAGTGTGGTTGTCATCGGGAAAACAAACTGATTTGGTGAGCCTCACAAGTTGGATATTGGAAATTTCAGTATCTTTTTCCATGTGGTGGGGAAGCCAGGCCTGTCCCTTCCAGGAAGAAGATTGGAAGATCCTTCACTGTTCCATATGACCAGCTCTTAGAGATGCCAGTGTCAGCGTTTCACCCAGGACACAGCCCAGCCAGATCACCATTCAGGGAAGCATAATCACCAAACCTATCCAAACACCCAGTTTTGAATCAGCTTCTTTTTGTGCTATACTCATATATGATCCAACTACTAAGGATCATCACACATTTGAGGAAAGCCTTACAGGTGAAAGATAGAAAACAAAATGAAAAAAATGTAAAAAGAAATTTCAAAGAAACAGACTATACAGGGGGAAAAAAACACTTCAAATCCATTGACATTTTAGTATTTTCAGAGAGACTGAAGAAGTGCACCTGTAAAACAAGAACAGGATACTAAGACTGGGGGGAAAATGCGTGGGGGAAGGTACATATATACAAAAAAACTTAAGGGATCAGAAATGACCTGTTGGAAACTAAAATTTTGATAGGGGAAATGAAAAAGACACAATTGAAGGAGCTTGGGGAGATAAAGATGAGGGGGTTTTTCAAAAGAGAGAGTGTAGTGGTAAAGGGATAGAAAAGTGGGAGAAGAAAAGATACAAAAATTAAGGTCCAATCCATGAGGTCCAATATCCAAATAACAGGAGTAAATGTGCATAGGAAAAATGTAGAGGAAGTCATCAAAGAAGTAACTTAAAAAATGTCTTAAAACCAAAGCACCTGAATTTTGAGACTGAAAAAACTTAAGAACACTGGGACAGCAAAAAGCTTCTGTAAATGGAGAAAACACACAGCAAACAGGTCATATATAGAGAGGCCTGTGGGCCAGTTTCATCTTCCTTATTCCTCACCACCATACACACAAGACAATAAAATGAACTAATAAAATAAACCAGTTAGAATGAAAGGTATAATTAAAATCAGAATTAAAGGTAAAATTAATGTATAAAAAGGAAAAAACCATGAGGTAATACTTATCTGCCTCTGGACAGGGAAGTAATTTACTGAATATAAAAGACATGAAAGACATTACAAAGGAAAAAATAAACAGCAGCATAAGACATTGAAATGTATGTCAAAAACATTTTAAATGAAATAGAATTAAAGTTATATAAACTAAATGGCAAACTTGGAAAAACTATGAGCATATATAACAAAGGGCTTATTTTAATATGTAAAATATTCATATGAGCAATATTTAAATGTTAATTATGTAAAATAATCTGTGAAATATGCATAAGTAATATGTAAAATGTTAGTATAAGTAGATGAGAAAAAAAAACACTAGAACCCTATTAGAGAAAGATGGGTGAAAGATAGGAACCAATATATACCATGAAATCCAATGGCTGATAATCATGAAAGAAAAAATAGCATCCTTCATGGTAATCCAAGAAAGGTAAATTAAAACTAGAGCTACACTTTTTCACTTACCAAATTAGCAAAGCCTTTTTTTTCCCCCCTAAGTGAAGTTACTCAGTGGTGAGAACATGAAATGACATATTCTTTCTGAAAAGTTTTGGCAATATGTGTTAGGATCTTAAAAATATTTAAATACTAAAATGCAGTAATTCCATTCCTAATAACTAGCCTAAGGAATTTCATTCAACCAATATTTTACTGTATATACTGTTCTAGGTACTGAAATATAGGATAAATATAAGTGATTGGTAATAGTCGTGGAAGAGTAAAAACAAAATAACTGTCCAATAAGAGGGGGAAATTGAGCCATTTGCCTTAATAAAATAGAATTTATTCAGCCACCAAATATTATGGCTATAAATTATTTTTAATCACTGGTTAAGTAGATTTTTCTAACTTGAGAAGAAAGTTTTTGTTGAACACAATTTAGATACTGTCAGCAGAAACAGTGGCCAATGCCTGAGGCATTTTGTGAAACAATCCCCATTTGAGATAATAGAATTGAAATATGTACACAGCATGAAAGACGAAAAGGCTGAAATTGGTGTGCAATTTGGACACTGGCTGAAGTGAAAGGGACTTTTAAATTTATTCACTTCACTCCTCATCTTCTCTAGCTGAAAACACCCCCCCCACACACACATATACATACATCCACACACACACACACACATACACACAAGAAAAGGTCAGAGGAATTATTTTTAAAAGACACAGAGGAAAGACTTTGTAATTTCCAGAGAACCATTAGGTTTAAGAGACCAGGTATTATTTTTTAATCATTCTTATAAGACAATACCTTTCCGCCATGGTAAGAACTGTCAGGTTTCCTTAGATAAAGAATTTCCGTGTTACTGTGGATACTATGGATAAGGATATAATGTGTATCTGAAGTGAAAGTGTATTTATTGATTCTCAAACAGTACCTGTAGCCCAGCTTGAAAGAAGCAAGCAGGCAGTCTCATGGTTACAGCAAGCAGCTGAGATCACAGAGAAGTGACACATTAGGCTGTAATACTGAAGGATTACTATCTTTGTACCTGCAAATTCAGAGCAGTTTTGTTTTGAGGGCAGTTACATTCTATATATAATATATACTTATATATATTATATATATTTATTACATAAAAGATTACCCTTTGTTGCTCAATAGCTGAAGACTAATACACACACACATATAATAGATATGATAGCCCTGCCCCATCCTTCCTAGAATCCTTAGAAATGCACAAAGGAAATAATTTAGTTTATAAAACAGATACAAAAAAACCCAAAAAAACAAAAAACAGATACAAAGTAACAACTCAAAGATTACTTCAACTGTATATTTGGTATTTCAATAAGAAATGAGGTCTTGTGTAATATTCATAGTCAGCATTTATTATGTCTTAAGGGAAAGGCCCTTAGTATGGTATTTAAGTTTTTGATATTTAGCTCTCCTAAATTGTTCATTCTTCCCATTTCTTTAGAGCAAGTTTTCTAATAGAATGGAAATTTTGATTATATATTCCCAAGAAATACATAAAAGAATTTATAAAATATTACAGAAGAATTTTAAGATTATAAAATTAGGGTGAGTAGGGAGCCTATGACATGATACTATCACAAGGCGATACTGGCGCAAAGCAGCCAAGGTCTGGCTTGGGTGGTGACAGCTAAGTAGGAGAGGAAAGCAAACTGGGTCCTTGGGGTCTTATACAGGGAAGGTAAGGAGCACAGAAGCCTCCTGTGCTGTGTAAGTGTTCTTGGGGTTTCCCAGTAGACAATCATGGTATCCCCTGACAGCCACTGCCTATATAGGCTGGGCAGGGAGATATAATGGTTGATGAAGGTGAGTAGGATAACTGTTTTACTATTTGTAGAAATAAAGACATCTAAAGGAGGAAATTAGTTTCAGAAGAAAGATGATCAATTTGTACTAAACAAGTTAATTTCAGGGGTTAGTGGACCTGCCTAAGATAAAAAAGGAAAGCAGGGGACGGAGCCAGGATGGCAGCGTGAGTAGAGCAGTGGAAATCTCCTCCCAAAAACACATAGAGCTATGAAAATATAACAAAGAAAACTTCCTAAAATAGAGACCAGAGGACACAGGACAACATCCAGACCACATCCACACCTGCAAGAACCCAGCGCCTTGCAAAGGGGGTAAGATACAAGCCCTGGCCCGGCGGGCCCCGAGCACCCCTCCCCCCGGCTCCCAGCGGGTGGATGGAGCAGTTTTTTTTTTTGTTTTTTTTTTTGGTGAGTGCTTTTT